TTTTTTTTAATTTAATTTAAGTTAAATAATGAAATAATTTATTTTTGGTTTAATAATATAACATTTTATAAAGATAATAATTAAGTATTCTGTTATAACTCAATGATTATTCTAATTATATTTTAGTTTTTTATATTTAAAATGAGATATTTATCCTGTATTTGATTGTGTTTATCTGCAGTTAGTTACACAAATTCAGATATGGGATGAAATCGGATAAGGATGAAATCGGATAAGGATGAAATCGTTTAAGAGTTTTAACCAAATGCTTTATAATATAGTATAGATTAGTAATCCAATCCAACCTAAAATATTATTATGTAAAAATTAAATATATAATTTTTAATCATATATAATAATTATTTTTTAATTTTAAATATAAAAATAGATTAAACGAACAATTACATCTTTTTAAACGTAATTATAGTTATAAAAAATTACCATACAATTGAAAATAAAAAAAAACAAGTCATAAAACGAATTGATAAATTACATATACGAAACAAAGAGAAAGATTAGTGTGATGAAAATATATCAATATTGGGCTCTATTTGTAGGGTATTGAAAAATATGAATCTTAGTTTTTTTTTTTGTTAAAGTCATTTTTTTCAATTAGACAAGTTTTATACTAAAAAAGTCTAAAGTTAACCAATCATAATGTGACATATGGCAATAATAATAAAAAGGAACAATAATCTGAGTTCACCGTGTAATCAAGACTGGGTGGGATTGGATATTTTTTACATTTTCCTAAAGTTTCTTTTGTCTTATTTCACAAATTAATTTCGGTCATTACAATAAATATCCAGTCTTATGGGCTGTTTACTAACTGCTGACCATATTGACTCGGTAAGCAGTTAGTGTGTTTACCAAATTACGGATCTGAACCGAGATCTAACCGAAATGCTGACTGAGATCTTACCCAACCAACGGCAAATTTATGTTTATCCGAGTCAAATCTTTGCTTTCCACACTTGTCCGTTTTATCGATTAGATTTCACTCTACTTCCTCATCCCTCCTCATCCTCCATCGTCGGTCCTGGCTCTCCCCGCTAACACTCAATTAGTCCTCATCCATATAAAGAGGATCTTCAAATAAATAACAATACACAGTCACATACATATCATATCATATTACATATATCCCAAAAAACAATCTATATGCACACCCTAGTGAGTTTTTAAGCTTCATTAACTGTATACTGCAAAACACAAATTTTCAGCAACTACATCTTCCAAAAACTGTACTGAACACCTAGTGAGATGTCAAGAAAAGAAAGAAACATGGGGCAACTCAATGGTAAAACCAATGATGCTTTATTGTATGCTAGAAGGGTATACGCACAATGTAGCGAGATACATCTTGATTTTAGTGTTTTATTTTTTTTTGTCTTAGTCGA